ATAAATTCATCCTGAAGGGTTCACAACAAGCCATTTCAAGTAAGAAAGAACCCATCTTCCACAACCTCTTTCTTCTCTTTTCCAAACTGCTTTTCAATATATTTCTTTAACATATCCATACGGTTGAACGTCTCATGGTCGTTGACGGAATATACCAGCACGAAAGCATCCGCGACCTATGAACAATTCGTTTAACGACTAAACAGAGCCATAAACGATTTAACGGACGACAAAATAATGGAATAAACAAGCAATTTAGACGTTCGGCTCAGCTATGTGCTAAGTTGATTACACCCCGTGAAAAAAAACTAACAGGATAAGCACCTGAATGTAAGGCTTTTTCAGCTCTATAGGGCCATAATCGCTTATACCACCTGTATCGTGAAAAACCATGATTTCCTTGGGACGATCACCATAATCCATTTGAACCTGATAAGTGTCGTCTATAGTTGGGACGTACTGCTAAAAAAGAAACGTTCATAGAAAAAAAACACAAGAAACTTTGGAAAATGAACAAGAACATCAAACAGCAATAGAGAAAGAACAGCAAGCCAAATAACTCACTTGCTTTGTGATATCGTTTACGCAGGCCAGTTGTTCAAGACATGCCGTCTTCCCTACTCTCTTCGACCCAGCCACCTGACAGTCTCGATTAAGTAAATAAATTGAAGACTCAAAATAACTTTGAAAAAATTTATTGACCTCTCAAAATGAGTTCATTTAACTTACAACAACTCGCATTACTCTTCCCATTGTAGACAAGAAAACCTCCCACCGGGAGGAAAAAAAGCTGTTGAAATTGAGCCTTGTGCCAACCCACTATTTCTGAAATATAAACGTGATTTCCATACAGACCACTCACAAAAGACAAAGCCTTTCATGACCAAAAAAGCTGGGCAAGGAAGAAAAGAAATGAAGCGTGAAGCATAGAGTACAATCAAACCCCGCTGTTCTAAGAAACAAAATATCATAAAAACTAATACGCATTTGGTATCCCACCAACCAGTCAATCAGCTCCTTTGCAGTAATCTCAAAAATAATCTAAGTCTTTTGTTTGACAGTTTTACTTAAGAACAAATACAATAGAACAACAACACCTGTCTGACTAAGCATATGCCTATTTCTGTAGCCGAATGACCGACGCATTAAAAACAACATACAACAGAAAACTGACTAAAGATCAGCTGACGTCATCTTAGAACATCTAATTGACAAGTTAAAGCAGGAACTCATATCATTAAATAAATCATGTTTGTAAGTTCACTTACCCAAATAAGATTTACTAAAAAATTTAAAACTTTCCATTGATCTCTTGCCTTAAATGATTAACTACTTACCTGTAATGTGTTCAGCTAGAACCTGCATAATACATCAAACAACACGCACAACAGAACGCATCCATTCACGCATAACCAACCAGTAACTTTCGGAAATTGATACAACTACAGTTCAGCAACACCAATCCAACGATGGCAATGGAAATGTGCCAACACCTGGCATAAAAACTGCTTTCCACCAAACAATTTGTCAAGAGACTGCTGTCGCTGTCCATTAAGAGCACCGTTTGCCACCGTTGCACTGAAATCTTGTGAAGTCTACTGCTGATTCCAAATCCCTTATATTCTTGCACACACTGACCATACAGCTTCTGAAATTTCCAAACAGGAAAGCGGAGTCAGACGGATTGTAGTGGTCTCTTGTACAGTCTTGACAGCAATGTTCATTACATACAATTGTTTTACTAGAGGAATCCTTTAGGTAAAGTAGAACATGATCAGCACGTGCAGTATTATGCCTGAACAATAAAACCCTTGAAGAAACTGACAGCACTTTTGCCTTCAGTAAAGTTAATATATGTCTGCAAATCAGACCCAAGTAGCTGTGCCGACTTTCCAGTGCCTACAATGCTTTTTAAACAATACTTTCTGCCTTCAGATGATAATTGACCAGTTCACCAGCCATCAACAAACTTGCTGATCTTTATCACCTGTAATAATATCACCAGCATTCTACTTGTTCTCTATATCTTTGCAAACAACTGGAGGGAGCGCATTGAACCTAGGTGAGTTGATCTTTATTTCCCAAGTATTAAGCGTAATACACAACAATGAATAAATGCGAACATAAACAAAAACTGATGCCATGATAAATCCACTGAAAGATTACAAAGCAATTTATAACTAGACAGTCATTGAAGAGTTGATTTCGCGAAGTTAAAACACAAAAAAAAAATCGCTGTTTCATCTGCGGCAGGAAGTAGTTACATTTCATAACGAGATACGCGATACGTTTACATCTCAGAGATTCTGTAGTCGTAAAAATACATCAAAAAATACAGGAAAAAGCTACCAAAAACTGCCGTATTACAAAAGAATGGGAGTCTTATAAATTTTTTTCGCAAACATGAGAGCACGAAAACAAGTAAAAACCAAACTTTGCAATAAAGTCATCGCAAAGTGATCACAGAGTCATGACGAGATCAAGTTATCAAAAAAAGATGTACACATTAATAGTTCCCGCAATTTAGACAGAAAGTAACTAGTTATTTTCAATGAGCAGTCTAATGAACTTCGTAAAAGTCTCGAAAATCTCAAGTATAGGATGCAGAAGGAGCTATACTATTTAGGTGAGGGATCCGTAATTTGTTCTGGTCTTGCGAGAATAAATCAGCATAAGCAAGAGCAAATGCACTTTTGTACCAAATCCCTGAAAAGTTTTTAGTCATATGTAGAGCTTAGTTTGGTGAAAGCTTTTTCATAAATGGCTATCATACGACACAGATTTGAAACAGAAGGTCAAAATAAAGTTACCTTGCATAGGGAATGTATGATATAGAGTACCAAAGCATGGCGATATACTCGCCAACAACAAGTATAAATGCCAAAAATGGGCTGGATAAAAAGAGCGCAGCAATTAGAGAAAACGCTATCAGTGTAATAAAAACTAGTGTCGCAATGAACCGACCTTTTTCAAACATCTTTTTCAATTGTCTTACGGGACCAGTTAAAAAAAATGTCCTGAAATGCTCAATTTTCGTTACATTTTTAGATTCTTTCTTTTTAAAAAAAATTCATTTCATTTATTCAGATAGACTTTAAAAAAAAAATACTACTCCTTTACGAAAATATAAATCACAGAAGAACTGAATTTCCTGTTTGAAAAACTAGTTCTATATCTACAAACGTGTGGAATAACTTACCCACATATCGAAATAATATTTCCAACAGAAATCATGACTGCAAAGCCAATAATTTTATGTGAAAAAAGCATGACACTTCCTAGTGCTGAACATAATAAAGATAGAAAAAAACATCCAATAAAACACTGAACTCGTAATGCCCACGGTAGAGACGATGTTTGCTCCTAAAAGCTTATTTTAAACTACATTAAGATAATTTCAGCCAATTTCAGCCAAAGAATTAAAAATATCTCTTAATAAGGTCATAGTTAAAAAATTTCAGAAGTACTAAATATCTGCTAAAAATTGCGATATTCAAACTGAAACTTTGCATAGGGAAACTCTATATGCCTTACTTCATTCTCTTGGCTCTGTTCTGACTCATTTGCGACAGGCACAGTATCTTCAGCAGGTTCACCATAAAATACCTTCTTGAGCCGTTCAAACATGTCCCTTTAAAAAAATTTTTTTTGTCCGAAAAATCCAATGAAGTTTTTTTGTTGACACAATAAGCGACAGTCTTAAGCGAAGGCCTGTGGAGTCTATTTTTTGGTGCTTTTGCGCTTAATTGACCCAGTTCCCTGACAAACTCCTCTCATTGTGAGTCCACCATCACTTTTTGCACGATGAATTTCTGACCGTACTTGATTCTCTTCTGATAATATTAGAATTGTCTGCATATTTCTCTAAATATTTGAGAATCCAGTGTTACAGCCCCGGATTTTTCACAATACAGTTTTCTGGATTGTTTGTGGTGAAACGGATTGTGGTCCATTTTGTAATCACAGTCCTAGAGTCTGGAAATTTCAAATTCTACACAAATTACCTTTTCATAGTTCTAACAATTTTTGGCCATCTTCTTCTCTACCCAAAAAATGCCAGTCTAATCACAGCCTTTCAGCTGCTCACAAAAAGCATATTGACCTACAGGATTACCAAAGTAGCTAGAAGACGCTTCTCCAGAAAACGAACTTCCGTCAAAATAATCTTTTAGATCACTTTCCCTTACGTTTTTTTCCCACTGTTTTTTGTCAAAACCTATGAACTGACCGATATAAAATCAATGCCATTACAGCAGAAATGCAGGAAAACAAGCTCCATCCTCTACGGGAATGCAGCCCAATACAATTATTACCCATCCAAGTTTCACAAGCAAAGCGATGTTGTAAAACGCCATATAGGTTAAATGCTAGGAAGGAGTGCAGAAATATGTGTGACATCACTGCACATGAATCAAATTAAACTGAGGACCTCCTATGTAAAAAATGAAATTAAGTTGATAGTAAAGAAAGCACGTTTGTGAGTGGACAATTTTAACACAATTTTAAGAGCCGACACTGTTTTACAAGTGGAAAGTAAAACTCACTAAACATATTCAAAAAATTTAAGCTCTACTTAATGGAAATTTACGTAATAACTCTCACAGACTGTGTACATGCAGTATTCTGATGGCTGTGGTTTCACTCTTACGTCTTGTAGAAGTACAAATTGGCAGCAAAAAAACCACGTTTTAAAAAGATGAATCAAAAATACAGCTTATTTTGAAGCATCTGTTGAATTATTCTTCCTAAACTGATTTGAAATCATCCAAGAATAGATACTATAACCGGCTTAAAAACTATCCTTCTAGATCTAGGCACCAAATCTGCATCAACAGCTTAGGACAGTGATTTGATCATATCGCACAACTCGATTTATAACTGCAACTGCTTGGAACCTAGATCGCTGTCACCTATTCTTTTTTTCAGAATTTAAGCCAATGAATAAATAACAATTAGATAGCATATGAAGTTTTACAAATATAAACTACAAAAAGGTAAACAAGTGCTTTATTGTTACATTTCAAATAACAGTTCCCAAATCAGCTGAGACCCAAAACTGATTTAGAGCCGTTAACAACAAAGCAAAAATGGACTTAAATACAAAAACTGGTACTAAGAAAATACAGTGCTAGACACAAGGATAGCACAGTCATACTGCGGAGACAAATGATTACTAAAGAAGAGTACATGTTTGGCTGAACGTTATCTTTCGAGAAAAGATGTGTCATTTTTTCGACCAACAGTCATTTGGAGCGCCGGATTAAGTTCGCTGAAAGCATATCAAATAAATACTAAGTCCAAAGCTCTTTTATCAGCTGTGAACTCTAACATTTCGGACTGACAGAAACTAAAAACACCATAACCACAAGAAACATGCCAAGTCCCCCGACACAGCTACTCAACAACCAACTCAAGTGAGCTGTAATGAAGGGGTGCAGTTCTGATGACAGTTCACACCTACGATCTTTGGACTTTTGCCAGACACCGCGGCTACTGACGCGCTGCAAATGTAAAGATTTTCAGCTGTTTCTCAGTTTATCAGCCTATTTGTCGACAACTGCAAAATGACGTCATTGTCGATGATACTTTACGTTGTGACTAATAAACAGCTGAGTCATTGGGTTAGAAGGTTAGAACTGCTTACACTCAAAAAAATTATCACTTGCTCCATTGTATGGAATATTCTTGCTTCGCTCTGTTGCTTGCATTGATATTTACATAAGTGGATTTTTTGCTTTTCTCCTCGTGTTATTTACTACCAGCTTTTCGGAGGGAGATGATGAAGAGATGAACTGATGTAGGGGGAACATCCCCGAGGAGATGACTGGAATTAGCTAAATCAATAGATAGAGTATTATTTGATTGCTCATGGTTCTTCGTAGCACTTTGTTTACAGGGTCTGTACAAATAGTTTCTTAGTTGGTGAATAAAAACAGTACTTTCGTTGATAATGGATTGGATTGCAGATTCTTTTTTATGATTCTTTATAATTTTTCACCACCTATTTTTCAGGAGAATCGTGTCGTTTGGAAACAGAAATTTTCAGGCTTTATAGAGAGGTATGTTGTGCGTACAATCGCCCCAACTATAAATGTTCCAGTGAGGTATAAAAGGGGGTTATTTTTCAAGATAGAAACGGAAAAAAAACAGTGCTCTTAAATAATTTGAAACCAACACCAGTAGTGTTATGTTATAATGGAAAATATGGCAGAGTGCTACCATTATCTTTGCTAATAATGAAAAACTCTCTACAGGCCTGTTTTTTAGGAAGTCTAATTTTTATAAATTATGTATATATATTTTTTAAGATTGTGTATTGGTTGGAGTGTGGTTGGAAGAAACACGTTACAGGTGCTCAACTTTTCTAATTATTCAGTGACGGAGAAAGGTTCATTTTAGAGGACAGATAAAATTTCATTTGATTTTCTTCTTTAGTTTTAACTGAATTTGCTACCGTTCTGGGCTGTCAGGAATCGGAGGACATAAATTTTGATTTACTACTGCTTTTAAGCGTTACTTTTTGTATCTCGATTTTCTTATTGTTTATTTGTTTATTTATCTTTTCATCGTCCTATGAAATTCATCTACTTTTTTCTGGCCTTTAACGAATGTGACTGTAAAATTGTATTTTAAACAGTAGTAATTAAGATTAATGAATTAATCAAAAACAGGAGACAGGAGAAATACTGTTGTTTTGTGACTAATCGGTCAAATATCACCGAATTAAAGTAGCGGATCACGCAGGGGGTCCTTATTAAACTAACCACACAAAAGTTCTGTAGAGATCTTTGAACATTGAGAGTAGTCTGAGAAAATGGACTAAATATGCCTTCCAGTAGTGAAAGTGATTTTGAAATTTACGTGAATGCACCACTGACCACAGTTAATGCTTGATCTGCTTTTTATGTCAGGGGGATTTGTGTTATGAAACCCATCTTTTTTTACTTGTTGGTAATAGCCATTAGTTTCTGACGGTTTGTAATGAAAAGAAATAAAATAGAATTTTTATGTAGATGACTACAGTCACTACATTTTTCGTTTTTTCTCGCTTTTTCGGATTACAACAGTTTTTCACATGTAGAAGTTTTTTTCTGACATATTAGAAATTTTATCTAGTTTATATCGTACTGTCTAATCTTTACCGCTACTTGTAATTGTTTGTTTTTAAAGCACTGAATAACCTGCTCTTTTAGGCTTCTTGGTTTTTTTGCGAAATATTGACATATTTATTTGATACCCGGAGAAATGTCATCTCTTGATAGTAAGTTAGTTTTCACTGTTTCCCTTATTTTCGAAACGCTGATATTTGCTGTGCATTTTGTTGAGTAAGTGGAAGCTATAATACAGGAGAAAACAAACTGAATTTTTCTTACAATTCTTGTAATAATTTCTGTTGTTAAAATCTTTTTTGCTAAAACAATATTGCTTTTGCAGTTCAATTCAGAAGTCATTATTGAAGAGTTTCATGGGGTGCAATTTTTCGTTAACAGGACTTATTTAACTGATATGAGGAACTTTCAGAACATTTGTTCAACTTAAAATTTGCTGCTAAGGAACTACAAAGGAATGCCAAGAAATGTGACAAACAAGAAAAGGAGGAAAAAGCAAAACTGACAGCTGCAATTAAGGTGCTGTTCTTAATGTGATCACTTCTGGAAAACTTTTATTGTTTAGTGACGATTGGTAGTTTTTTTTTTAACTGTTCGGTTAGTTATCCCCTGTTTTCTTATCTGGAATTGATGTTGTTAAGAAAGGGAATATGGAAGTCGCACAAGTCCATGCTGAAAATGCTATTCGAAAAAAGAATGAGTCTCTTAATTATATGAGGATGTCTGCCAGGATCGATGCTGTCGCTGCACGGGTACAGGTATATTCACTTTTTTGACTTTTTTATTTCGGTTTTTACGTTTTATTACTTGGTTGTTAAACTGTTGCATCATAATTTTTGAGTTTAATAAATGCTTATAAGGTCCTTTGGGTCTTATGATGCGTTGATTCTCCGTGTTGTTCCTCTCTGTGGGGAAGAGCAAGTCGCTTAAGCTAATGTTATATTCGTCATTAATACTGAAATTTTAATTGTGATTGATTGCTTACTAGTTAATTTTTTCTGTTTCAACATTGTGAGGAACTAAAATATTGGTTGTATATTTTTACTTCATATTGTCACCGGGTTATTACACTTTTTGCGTTCATTGAAAACTATCATTTTGTGATAGAAAACAAGTAAATGGAACCTCCTCTTGCTTACTGTCTTCAATCTCAGTTTTTTTTTTAACGATTTCGTTGTCGAAAGTTGACTTTTTAGTCGTTATATCTGGGTCGGGATATCCTGTTCAGTTTCAAATTATACAGAAGCAGTAAATAGCTTTTTAAGAGTTGCATTTTATATATTTAGCGGATTTTCCCTAAAATCCCTCAAGTGTCAAGATGTATGTTACAGTTATTGCGGTACCGTTTACTTGCATCTTTTAAGGGGACTGCTATAGCAGTATCAGTATTTTTCTACCCTTGAAAGTGATATTTGGCCTTTTTGTTTCTTTTTCAAACTTTTTTCACTGTTGTATGCGAGGAAAAAGTAAATCTGGTAATTTTTAGGCAAAAGATCTGTATGGTCAACAACTTATTCATAGCTTTTTTAGACTGCCGCGACTCAAAAACGGGTCACTCAAAGCATGTCCGGTGTTGTCTCAGCAATGGAATCAGCTATGCGTTCTATGAATCTGGAAAAAGTGCAGAATTTGATGGACCGATTTGAAAAAGATTTTGAGAATTTGGATGTACAATCTGCAACCATGGAAGGCTCCATGAATGCTACCACGACGCTTAATGCTCCTCAAGCCCAAGTGAATGCCCTTATCCAGGAAGCTGCTGATAAGGCAGGGTAAGTGATCACTATTTACCTCAACGGCAAATTGTAAGTCTAAATCGAGGAATTTGACTTGTAATTGTTTTTTTCAGTTTATTTGTCTTGTTTTTCCACAACAATCTTTTTCAATGATTTAATCCTTTGTCGCAAAGTGTGGGAAGTAGCTTTATGTTATGTTGCTATCTAATTCTTTTACAGCCTCGATTTGAATATGGAATTGCCCGCGCAAGCCACTACTACGATAGGCGGACGTGTTGCATCATCATCGGCAGAGAACGACGAGTTGACTCAACGACTTGCTGCATTGAGGCAGAATTAAGGTTTTGAGATTGCATTAGTGTCTTGTCTCAGGATCCCCTGTAAGCTGAGAAGTAACCTGAACACGGTAGGTGTCAGGTTCATGCAGAATGGTACCGCCATTACAAGCTTCACAGGAAGACAGCTCTTTGAATTCTAATCAAGTGAAGTACAAATTTTTTTGCTAACTGATATGAAAAACTGTTAGACCCTCGCATGAATGATGCGGTATCTTCCAAGTGCCCTTCCTCCGGTTCGTTTTACTTCTGGATCTTTGTAAATAGTTATCATGATTTTTGTGGAAAGTACGTTGTGTGGTGCCAGTGATATCCTCTCCAATCTGTTGTAATGTATAATAAAAGCTTAATGCAGTTTTTTCTCTCACACTACTTTTTCGGATATGATAGTGGCTCAGAATAGGGCCTTGGAGATGAAGACAATCTCTTTCAACTAGCTAAAATTCGTATCAAAGCCCAACGCTTTCTATGCGTTGTCGTGGGATTTAAGATATCCCTAAGCTTTTCCATCCGATACAACCACTATTTCAAATAAAAAAATTTAGAAATATTTTAAAATCGCTTAGTGAGCATCTGTTACTCCCTTGGAAACGTCGCAGGAACGGATGGGTGTAGACGGTTGATTTTTGCCAGTGGTTTCAGACTTTTTAAAAAGTAGTGAGGTAGTGCACAGCAGTGGTAAGTGGGTAGTTCTTCTGCGTCCCAATGTGTGTTTGAAACAATATATATGTTTTAGTAAAGGAAAGCTCTATGCAAGGTTACAAGTACCACAGAATAAAAGTAGAATGAGTTTACAAAACAAATAAAGTAGAATCGGTAGAAAAAAGTGAAATTTTTTAACAACGATCATCTCTTACATCACACTACTAACATGACCCGTATAAATCACAATTTTAAGTAAATTGATGTACATAATGAAAATGGGAGGAAGAAAAAAATTCGAGGTAACCCAAGCAATACTGAAGCGATACTATACAAATAGCTATTGACTTCTAAGGAGAATAAGAAAATTGCTTGTTTCAATGTTCGTCCTTTTGTAATTGCTTATCAGCTAATACTGGTCATTTAAAGCTGGTACAACGAATTTCGCTTCTTTTCAGAGCTTTGATAGACCAGTCTTATATATGCATTTAAGGCACTAATAGGGGCGAATTGTAAATTGTCTTCTAGAAACACTGTTAACCGTTGCAGCAATATAAAAGAAATTGAGAGCAAATTTAGTAGCACGAAAGTGTTTCAGTTAAGTGGGAACAGCGCCTAGCATTCAGATTCCTAAGTTGTATCGCTGAAAAACTATAGAAATCTTTAGAAGCTATTAATAAAACATTTGTCCATATTTCACACGAATATCGAGCTAAAAATTTTCCCGAATTTAGCCAAAGTTAAAACCCGTAGTTAGAGAGCCCGAGCTTTTCAGTTGGATGGTGAGGGAAAAGTTCTAACTGTTGTGTGAAAGGAGCAAAAAAAGAATAAACGATAGCATAAACTTGTATAACGGTAACAACGACTAAATAAATGTTAGAAGGATTTAAGATGCATTTTTTTAGATAGAAGCAATAAAAAAACAATGAGCAGTTGCTAAACAATTCTGAACGGTATCTTAAGAAATAAAATCTTCAAAACCTAGTCACTTCGGGGTCTGATGAATCTTCAGAACTGCCATTAGTTGAAGAGCTTTTTAGTTCTTGTAAACGGTTAAGTACTGCTGTCTCGTTACTTTCTGGATGTAATTCCTTCTTTTCAATCAATGTTTTAAAGGATGATGAACAATCCTGAAGCTCCTTTGATTTTATAATGACAGTCAACTGAGTGGCACCATCTTTTGTTGCAGATAGGACTCGTTTAGGGCTGCATATTGGTTTCGGACTATTTATATTGTTGGCCATTTTTCTGGCAGATGCTCCTGAAAAAAGAATGTGTGTTTATATAAAACCGGACAACCCTCCTGCACGGAAAAATTAATTTTAGCAGAATAAGCATAGTACGGATGACAGTTTTTGGAACATTCCTTTCATCCGTTGCAATTAATTTAAATTCCTTCCACTTTTTCAAGCAATTTTTTTCTACTTCGGTAACAAAAATTTAAAGTTACTACCAATTTTTAACTTCTCATATTGATTGCTAGATGAAGGATATTCGTGACAGTAAGGAAGGAGTTATTAAGGATATTAAAAAAAACAAAACGCACGACGTAAAATTGCTTGTTCCTGTATGTCGAGCAAATTTAGCTGATAAAGTTTATCATTCAAAAGTTTTTTAAGCCGAATACTTCGAGCTACCAATTCGATTCTTTGTCTGATATTCTCGAAAACCAATATCATTCGCATTTCTTCACATGATTTAATTAATGCCACCAATTCATTATGCGATAAATCGGTGACTACAAGCCCATTTATGGAAATTATTACATCGCCTAAAATTATTGTAAATGTCAGTATTATCAGTACTGCTACTATCATTTTTATTGTCATTGGCATCATTAATATCATTGTCATCACTGTCACTATTACTATTATTATTATTACTGTTATTATCATAACTATTATTATTACTAACATCATCGTCATAATCATCATCAGAATGATTATCTAAAAAATTGATATAAAAATGGGCATCCATTTGTTTCACCATTACGGGACAACTGCAGATTAACTATGCTGGATGATTAGCACTCTAATTATGTGGTTTAGTTATAAAGTAACTAGTTACTAAAGAACAGCAATCTATGTTTCTACATGGACGTGCTTTTGAATAATTTTGTCAACAACAAAAACAATTAATTAGAAAGCAAAAAATGAACAAATAAATAAGTAGCGATAAATTTTGAAAAACTTTATTACTAAAAATATTTTTCTTTTTTACTCATAAATGTTAAAAAGACTCACTCACTCACTTCAAAATGCATTTATTAAAATCATTTTTAAAAGCATGAACTTTATGTTTGCTTTATTTTTTCTAAATTTTAGTTCATTTTTCAATTTTTTTCTAGCAAAGACTGAGTATTCTTAGTGGGGAAAAAAGGAAAAGAAAACGTCAACAGAAGTAGAAAAAAAAATCTTTTATTTCTCAAAAGTAATAAAAAAGCTCATTTAACTGAAGATATTTGTTAACATAAATCAGTATTCCAATATGATGCTACATTACCTGGCCGTAATCCGGCATCTGCTGCTGGTCCTTCTAAATGTACATAATCGATATATGAAATCTTAAATGCTTCATCTTGTCGTTGGACAATATATGTCTTAAAAAAGCACAAAAAACTGAAAATTTCAGCAATAGTAATTAATGCCAATAAAATTTCAAAAAAAAAAAGAAAAAAAAATAGAATAAACAAATAAATAAATTTATAAAACCCAAATGACTGCACAGTTAAAAGCATTGAAAGCAAAAAAAAATCTAAACGTGGAAAAGTTGGTATTGCCTGAATTGTAAAACCAAATTGACAGTTGTTTGTCCGTTTCAGCAGAACAGTTCTTCGTTTTCGTTTTGAACAAGAATCCGTTATAATCTTTTGATCATTCGTCAATACATCTAACAAATTCTGAAATCAATGAATATGCAGAATAGTCTGACAAATGAAAATATGTCAGCTGCAGCTACAGCAACAGTAACAATAACAGCAACAATTTATCATATTAACTTCAGTAATGCTAACTGAAACACTATTAGGTGTATCAAAAAACAAATGTAATAAACATTTAAAAACCACTGCAATCAATCACACTGATGGCTATATTAAGGAAGAAAAGAAGCTGCAAGACAAGAAGAAAAATATTGATGCAAAATCCTCAAAAAGATTATTGAGAATTTTTTTAATATTTATATTTATTCCCTCATCAAACAGTTAAATGTGTCCGTATAAAATAAACCAAAAAAAAAAAAAAGAAAAACTACGTATTTTTTATCTTCTTCTCTTAATTTCTCAATTTGCAAAAGATTTTAAATGTCCGTCAGCTGTAAATAGTTAGCCGATTGAAAGTTGCAGTTTGGAAGCAAATTTTTTTCTCGTTCACTTTTATCAAATTAACAAATAAATTAGAAAATTAAAATCAGAAGAAAAAAAAACCTACACATTTTTCTTTTTTGCCACCATAAAAATGCTATTTAAATTTTTATCTGAGATTTCAGTTGTGATTGCCATCACTAACAGTAAAAATAAAACTGCCTGACTAAAACCACCTATTAGAAGACAAAGATAACAAAGCAAAAAAAAACTTTCACATCTGTACCGTATCGTTTGGTTCCTCGTCTGCGTAAAATCGACTCCACAGTTTCGTTTCTTCTAATGAATTTAACGACTGATAGAACGGTGAAAGCCTAAGATTTTTGAACAATTTTTTGCTGAAAAATTAATGCACATCAAATAGGTGTGTGTGTGTGCTTTTTTGCAGTAAAAATAAACAAAAAAAAAATAATATTTTATATCATATTAATAAAAAGTAATAACAATAAAAATGCTTGATTACAGATAAATAAAACTGAATCAAAATAATTAACACCCTTTTTTTTTTGCCATCACCGACTCCCCCGTTTTTTAACTCTTTCCCCGCTTCTAACCACCCCCTTCTCTTTTCCTCTAAAATTTTTTGCCATTATTCCAATTCGTTATTGGTATATAACAGAAACGTTTAACACAGATAAAGTGCAAAACCTGTACTGACAAATACATCGTTTACATAGACATATTATCTATCTACCCATATACATTTATTTATTGAATGAAAAGATTATATTAAAAAATGAACAATAACAAGTAGTAAAAAAAGTAGGAGAAAAATTAAAAATAAAAACTGAAAAAGAAATCGTTTGGGTGATAAGCTGTCGGTAAAGTAAAAGAAAAACTAAAGAAAATAATAATTAGCAATTAGAAAAGCTAATTAAAGAGGAAATTATCATTAACACCATCACCGAAACAGTTCGT